TCAGGCAATCCACTCACCTCAGCCTCCCAAAGCGCGGGATTACAGGCTGAGCCAACAAGCTCAGCTAGTATTCATTAATTAATCCAAGCTTGCTAGCTTGATGTCTAGTGGCAGGTTTATACCAGGGATCTGTAGTTGGTGGTTAGGAGTTTATAGGTATCGATTAGGTGAAACACACCCCAAGGTCAGATGGATCACATTTAGTTCAAAATACCTTCTGGAAGGGTGGGATCAGCGGTAACTGGTTGCCGTGTCAGATGGTGATTTCACTAAATTCTTGTCCCAGAAGTGAAATTCCTGTTTTCTTCGGAGGAATAAGAACGTGTTTGATGAACTCCTAGTTTTGAGTTTTCACCAATAACTCCAGCAAAGTTTGAGTTTTAAGCGCAGGAAACAAACCACACTATTGTACTACATAATTATGATTCTCTGATGTGTGTATGTGTGTGTGTGAGAAAGATATGAGAGATCAGTTAGAACTCATTCAGTTATTCTTTCCTTTGCAGAACACTATTCTGAAGTTGTAGACTGTTGTAACTCTCTTGGGAAGTTGTCCAGGGGTTATGGGAATAGGTTGTAAGGGTTTGACTCTTTATAGGAGTTCTCAGGTCAACAATTATGGTCATTAGCAAAGTTGTCATTTAGCTCCAGTGAATGATGGGCTCCTGGAAATCTTGAGAACCACTTGTTGGGGAACAGTGAATAATTCTATATGAAAGTCCACCTGGGCTGGGCTTGGTGGCTCAGCCTGCAATCCCAGCACTTTGGGAGGCCGAGGTGAGTGGATTGCCTGAACCCACGGGTTCGAGACCCACCTGGGCAACTTGGCGAGACTTCATCTCTACAATAAATCAAAAATTAGCCGGGCTCCAGCGATCCTTCTGCCTCAGCCTTCAAAGTAGCCATAACTATAGGCGTGTGCTACCGCGCCCAGCGAATTTTTTTTTTTTATTGTAGTGACAAGGTCTCACCAAGTTGCCCGGGCTGATGTTGAACCCACAAGCTCAGGCAATCCACTCGCCTCGGCCTCCCAAAATGCTGGGATTACAGGCTGAGCCATCGAGCCCGGCCAGAAATTAATTTATTAACCCAAGGTAACAGCAGCAGAGCCAGATTTTGATTCCAAATTATCTAACATCTCTGCCTGTGCTCTTAAACACTGTTATTTATGGAGACAGACAATGCAGGTCTTTTCCTGTGAGCAAGCCACTGTACAAACGATTGATGGCCAATCTTTCTGGGAGAATCTATTAACCCTCGAGTCCTTAGTTCAAATGTCAGGTGGACTTTCTTTTTTTTTGAGTTGGAGTCTCACTCTGTCACTCAGACTGGAGTGCAGTGGCCGGGAGCGGCCACTGCAGCCTCAACTTGCAGGGCTCCAGTGATCCTGGTCGATGCTGAGGTGGTCGTGAGCATGCCACTGCACTCCAGCCTGGGTGACAGACTGGGACTTAAACTAAAAAAAAAAAAGGTTAATTTATTTGAGTCTCAGTTTTCTTTTTCTTTTCTTTTCTTTTCTTTTTTTTTGAGTTGGAGTCTCACTCTGTCGCCCAG